CTCAAAAGTCACCTACATACATGTGCTTAATGAATACAGAAGAGGAAATGGAAGTCCAGGAAGTTTAAGAAGCTTTTTAAAAATCATACAGTAAATACCACATCCAGTCCCAAAGCCACGTGCCCTAGTGCTTTATTCAGTGTCCTTTAGAAACTTTACTCATAACAGGTACTTCATTCTAATAGAAAGCTTATTTTTCTACAATGTTCACCTCTGTCCCTTAGCGTTCCCACAGATAAAATGCTGTTCTTAGGTGTAGGTAAAAAGTGAAATCTTAAAAATAAATTTGTGTTCAATCAGAGAAACCAATAAACTTCATTAGTCAATTATTCAAGGTAAATAGTTGCATTTTCCTCAATAACGGGGTGTGTGGGTGTTTTCTCTGAATCATTTGATATTATATCATTAATCTTTTCAGTTCATTCTGCCAATATTGGTAAGTGAAAATTATTCACTACAAATGCTAAATAATTTGCATTGACCGATACTACGCAAGGTTTTCCTCCCAAAAGGAGGCAAATTCGAGACAATAGTGTAATTTGGATGAGAATTTGTATCCTATGCTTCCATCTAGTGGTGATTTTGCGCTATTACACGATGATGTAGACAGCTTTGCTTTAGTGTCATCCGCTGGCCTGTAACACAAATTCTTCAGTGTCCTCACTCCTATCAGCTGATTTTGGATGCCAGGAAGGATGTGATAAGAGAATGAAACAAGAGTCGTAGGGCGAACGATGGTCTACTGGGTATGGAAAAACGATGATCTACTGGTTGTCTGGTAATTCTGAGAACCGGAGAGAAAACAGATTTCTGAGCAAGAGCAAGGTTTTTTGGAAGGGTACCAAATGCCCCCTACTGGCTGCTCTAGGCATGGCCAGTTATATTTCCAATGCATCAAAGCAAAACACAAGTTATGCGCAATTTGATGACGGGGACAAACTCAGAGAAATGCGTTGTTAGGTGATTTCTTCATTGTGCAAACAACTGTAGAGTATACTTACACAAACCTCTATGGTCTAGCCTACTGCACACCTATGCTATATGAGTGTGGCTATAAACCTGTACAGCACGTTACTATACCAAATACTATAGGCAATTGTAACACAATGGTACATATTTGTGTATCTAAAAATATGTAAACAGAGACAAAATAGAAAAGGTTCAGTTAAAATGCAGCATAAAATATTAACTGTGTCAGGCACTTACCATGAGTGAAGTTCACAGGACTGAAAGTTGTTCTGGCTGAGTGTATGTGAAAGCCCAGGGTGTGAGTGTACACTACTCTCAACTGTACACTTAGGCTACACTAAATTTATACTTTTCTTTCTTAAATATTTTTCTTTCTTCAAGAGTAAATTAACCTTAACTTATTGGATAACCACAGTCATATCTGTGGTCCATCACTCACCAAAACGTCGTTATGCAGCACATGACTGTAAATAAGAAAATTAATTTTGATCACTTAACCTCTCTAGTCCTAGCTTCCTCAGCACAAAAGAGAGCAGGAGAGGCATTAAGTGTAGTCTAAATGATTTCCAAAAGTCTTTCCCTATCAAGATTTTATGACTCTACAATTTGCAACTCAAGATATTTTGCCTAGATGACATCCTGCCGACACATTGGGAAATTTCTGGAAGCTTGGAATTTGTTGTTGTTGTCAGATCCAGTCTAAATAAGACCTTAGCTTTTCTTTTGTTTTCTCTTTGTAGGCAAAACAATTGCTACATATCCCAAGATTGGCGACACAGCCATCATTTCCAAATTTTCTCTTTATGTCCCTGCCAAACGAATAAAAACTGGCCGACTGACATCATCAGAGTGGATGAAGAGTGAACAGGAGGCAATTTATGCAAGGGAGAGCTTAAACTGTTACGAAATTCTCCAGTGACCCTGTGATTCATTTTGTTTCCTGGTAGTTACTTACCACTTTCTAGTTTTGACAGATGTGCTTTTCTGCCTTTTTTTTTTTTTTTTTTTTTTTTCCTTAAGAAGCTTACTGAGCTTGCAAAGAAAAGCTCTAAAGGAATAAGGTTAAGGAGCTAACTCAGCATCAACAGAGACAGATGCCTTCTTGTAATTGAACTAAAACCCTTAGACTTTCTATAAGCCAACTCTCTCTAGTCTAAGCTATTGCCTTATTTTTATTTTTACGCAGACCATTTCCCACTTAAAATTCATCATCAAAAATAAACTTTTTATTTCTTCCTTAATGTTTATAGTGATATAGATAGTCTAGCAAAGATTATTCAATAAAGAGGTCAGACAGATTCTCATCATGATTCATCCCTGCAGTGCAGAAGGAGACACTAGGGCATCCTAACATAATTTAAGTGACAAGTGAGGACGTATATGATCTGACAGATATTTCCGAAAAATATGTGCCCCAAAGAGCTCCACTGAGTCCTGTAAAGAGAATAACTTCTACTCTAGTGCTGCATTCCTTCAGATCAAAAACCACTTCATGAAGTCTCCTCTGAAATCTTGCTTATTCTTTATCAGCTACCAATATTTTATTGTGAACGTAAAAGTTTAGCAGTCATCAAAGGTTGTCTCAAGATGATAGGACACAGAATTTTGCTAAGGAGAATGTGCAAAGCACTGATTTACCTGTAAATGAGAATCTCCCAAACTGGCTGTCCTGGAGGAGTACTATTTTGGAAGAATGTAAGTATCGTGGTTTGGTTTGGTTTTGTTTTGTTTAAAAATGGGATCTGAGATCAAATAAGTTTGAGAGACACAGAATTCAGTAGAACTAAACAGGCTTTTTTTTTTTTTTTTTTTTTTTTCCCCAGCTGAAGCCTTGATTGTGTTAATATTCATTCATTATTTAAGAAATATTTACTAATACCAGCTATACTTCAAAGATAGTTATAAGTGTTTGGGAGGCCTCACGGAAGAAAACAAAGATCACTTCCTTGCAGAGCTTACATTCTAGCAGGATTAGACAGATTATGAACAATAAGCATAACATAAATTATATAAGACATGCTAAACAGGATGAAAGGCAGATTGCTAATGCAGGTTGTAGGAGGAAATAAAGAACATGGCATTTTTAAAAAAGAGTGGTCAGAGTATACTTCACTCAATAGATGATATTTTCTCAGATATTTGCATTTGTTAAGGGAGTTAGCCATCTAGATATCCAGATGAACAATATGTCAGGCAAGGGTGACAACAAGTCCAAAGGCCCTGGGGTAAGAGTGTGACCCCTAACAGAGTAATAACATGTATAATGTTTCCCAAACTCATTTAGTACAGAACAGTTTTTCACAAAACATCTTCAGTGTAGCCAAGTACTTTGGGAAATGTTAGCGTAGATATTGCTTTTACTAAGTGAAGAGGGGACCAGGTAATAGAGAGTGCTAGGGCTAAGGGGTTGGTGCCCTGGATCTCATAAGAGCACTGCGGTGGAATGTACTCAAACAAACTTTGACCACAGTGCAGTCTTCCAACAAGCAAAGTGACAGTAGTTTAAGATGAGCAACTTTTCTTACATTTCTTCCATTGGCTCTTCAAAGAAGGCTTACTGGCTCAAAAATACCAAAGAAAATGCTTCAACGTTTCTAAACATTACAGAAATTAAAATTACAATACCCATTGAATTAGGCAACATTTAAAAGTCTGATAATACCAATGTTAAAAAAATATTTTAAGAAATAAGATCTCTCATTCACCGCTAGTGGAGAAGTAAATTGCTACAAGCACGTTGATGAGCAATATGATTGTGCCCAGTAAATTTGAAGGTGTGAAAATTATTCAGCTTAGCCATTTTACTTCTAGGTATTTACCTAAAGAAACACTTACACATGTGTACAAGAAAATATTTATAGAAATTTATTGCAGGATTGTTTGTAATAGAAACATAAGAAACAATGCCCATCAACAAAAATACGAATAAATGCAATGTTATGTATCCATACTGAAATACCATATAGCAGTTAAAACGAATTAACTAGAGGCACATTTATCACATAATAAATCCCTAAGCATAATGCTGAAAGAAAAAGTAGCTTTTAGTAGTAAAAGTAGAATATGACACCATTTGCATAAAGTTTTAAAACATGCAGAAATTTGTACATTATTTATAGATACATACATATACAATAATAGTATAATTGCATATAATTATAAACACTAAATCCAGCCTAAGAAGAGAAGCAAGGATTTATTACATCATTCTGTATATTTGTAATATTTTATATTAAAAATATATTTTAAAGAGGAAAGACATGCTCAAGAAACATAGGAGAAGGTTTTAATGCATGGACTAAAAGAAGACATAACCCAAACCAAAAGAAACAAATATGATTAAGCAGTTACACAGAATACAAAGTGTCAAGAACACAGATCGATTTGAGGAAATTTAAGAATTTCTCTCACAACACTATATTTCTGGGAAGAAAATGGCTTTCTTTGTAAGTCCTAGTAAAAAGGTCAGCTGTTGCTGCGTTGCTCACCTTGTGGTATTCCAGTTGAAGAAGATTAATTTCAACGACATGACCATTCATTGGTACTTTGCATATGTGAAGTAGAAATATTTTGCTAAATATTTTCTCTAAGTATGCAAAGCACCTTTAGGAGAGTATGTGGCCGTAATTTAACGGTGACAGTGTGTGCTTTGCACACTGACCACGATTAAGTTCATTTTTATTAACTGGGTTGCTTGCTATTAAATAAACCTTAAATTAAACCACTCTTGTTATCAATGAAATAAACCATCATCTTAAAATACGATTATTTATCTTTAAAAAGATAATTATATTTTGTGTTTGTGCTAAGGCAGTCTGTATGCATTTGGTGAGGAAAAGATTCCTTTCTGGATTAAAAGGAACCATAGGATAATGGAAAAGGTCTTCAAATGTGTAATTAAGATTAAATTAATCATCTTTTTTTCTCAATAAGCATATTATTTTGCTGAGTCACTAAGTATATTTAAATGATATTGCACTGGATTAAGAGGATTAATGCTTAACCTCACTTCTTTGTTTGCCTAGGACTGCAGCTGAGGGTTTATTGAGTATGGATTGAGCATCACACTAAAAACCTTCCCTGGAAAAGGGGACCAAAGGATGTAAACTGAAAATTTTAAAAATCTGCTTTGTTTTCCTCATATTGCTGAAGATTCAGATAGATATCTGCCTGTAAGTGATGTGAATCAGTTTAATCTACTGAAACAAAGTACAGCATTGAAGACAATGTCTTTTTCCCCCCCTAATACATTTTCCCTGGCGTGCTGTTTATTTTTTTAAAGACACATGAAGAAGAAATCGTGATCACAGTATTGGCTGTATCCACCTGCATCCTTTTTGTCTGTTTTTGGAAGAGATGATCCTGGCTTTCCAGTTGGTCTCCTTCACCTACATCTGGATCACATTGATACCAAATGTTTGTGCTGCTTCTCGCATCAGGATGACACATCAGCGGTGCTCCTCTTCAATGAAACAAACCTGGTAAGGTGCTCATAGTGCAGTCCATGGAGTTACTGCCCAGTTTCTCTCACCAGTTGCCTCAGACTGACAGGAAACCTAGAAACATATCTTTAATGGTAGCACATCTTTGTAACCATGTCTGTCTCTGGAGATAGCATTCATGCATCATCATCAGTCACCTCTGTTTGACATCTGAAAGAGCAAGATCTTGGAATTTGCTGACATTTGTAAATTTATTTATGCTTATTTACGGAGAAAACGGTTAAAGGGTTCATATAAGGATCCTCTTTCAGGGAATGTATTTCCTCAATTACTAATACATTTATTACTGATACATTAAATACTTGTTTAATGTTTCCTCAAATGTATTTTGAGTAGAAATTAGTCTAAGCACCAACTTCATTTAATGTCAAGTATTTGTAGGGTATATAGTTTCATGGCTTGATGAAATAGTATCAAAAGGCATTAAAGCCATTTATCTTCCAACAATAATTTTCATACGTTTGACAAATCCTGAATATCAACACACGATCACTATTTTCTTCCCATCAATAATCAGGAGCGTGTTTGGATGTGCTAGTAAGGGAGATAGCTATCTGTGAGAGTGACCTGTTTGTACACCAACTTGCTTAGGGCTTTATAGGTTTTAGTACTAAAAATGCCAGGAATCCCTTCAGCCCCAGGCATACTGCAATGATTTGTCCCCCTACTACCCATATACCTTTAATAATCAAATAACGTCTTTGAGAAAGTCTTCCCTTTTCACCAAGCACCCTATTTCCAAAAAGACCCAACAGGAGAAATTGTGGAATGAAGATAAGAGTATCATCTGGTTAATCCTGGCAGCCAATGGGGTGACAGATGTTTAAGCTAGATTGTCCTCACATCCTGAATATGTATTATGCACTCACTGTAAGATCAGGAAAGAGAACGTAAAATTTTAATAAATGTCTTCTGAAGTCTCAGGTTTAATGACCAAAACCAAAAGAGGTGTGTTACTTGATTACGGATTCCTGCTCTGTGATTAAAAATCAGGGATTACCTCTCACACTTTCCTTCCACACTTCTGCTCCCAGACCCAGACCTGAGATGATACGAAGTCTTGTTCCATTTAACCACTTTCCCAGTCTTCTTCATAGCAATTAGCTAAGGAAATATTTGGGAAATGTAAGAGTATACCACCAGACTCTATTTTTTTTTTCAGGTAGCTTATTACATTTTATAGTATGTTTTATCTAATTTTAAAAATTAATGGACTTAAATGCTTAAAATATTATCTCTCATCCAAAGAGTAGACTTGTACAGTCTGGTGGATGTTTAGATGAGGAGGAGAGATGATTATAGTAGCTAATTCATCACACCAGCCCACTATCAGTGGCAGAGTTGCTACAGAAAAAATCTACCATGTGTATTTTTTAGGTGACATTTAAAGAACAAGAGAAGAACATTGGTTCTTTGTGGTGAGGTAGAAATTTTTCTCATGTTAAATGCCTCATTTTTAGATCCTATGTAAAGGAAAAGAAGAAATTTAGAGCCTACGCAAAAGCAGACTTCTCGCATAGGAAAAGCCAGGATTTCGGCCATGTGGGGCCAATCATATTTGTTGTCACTTCTCTATATCCTAAATGAAGTGCTCCTTTGAGTCACAAGCAGAATGGGATTCATTAAAATTTATATCTGCTTCTTTTGTTCTTCAAAGAAAAACCCTCTAGGGCACTGGAGATTGCATAAACCATCACCTGGTCCAGAAGTAGCCCCTTAGAGTGAAACCCAGGCATTTCCCCTGAGTGAGCAGGGTAATACAGCCAGCCAATTTCTGAGCTGTCACTCAAGCACTCTGTCATGCAGATTTTAGGGCATTAGACCAAAATACAGTAATTACTGTATACAGTCATTTTTTAGAGTAAGGGGCCCAGGAGTCTTCCTGCCTTAGTATGTGAGTAGACACTGTGAGGTTCTTTGCCCAACATCCAACCTGATTATCAGCCAATAATTAAGTAATGAATGAATTAATTAATAATCCACTCTTCTATAATGCAAGAGAACTAATAGAGTGAACATGAAAGGAAGACATGATCTTCGAAAATTATAAGGGGGATTTATATATGCATTGTTTGGGGCCAGTTTTTATACAACAAAGTTCTTAAATGTTTTGCTTTTAGTTGTTTTCATTCAGAATATAACCTCAAATTTTACTCCAGAGATTCCCTTCTTTCAAAATCTAAATACTTTAAAAAATGTTTATTCAAAGATACCTTTTGTTTCCTAAAACCAAAGTAGGGAGAGGTGTGAATAAAGTAAGTTTGGCAGGTGGAAAATGTTCCCCTTTTACCTAGAGAAGAAATTTTGCTCCTAGATAATGCAAAGAAGATTAAGCAAATAGACTCATTGAATATTTATTCATTCTTTCAACAATTATATTGAGTGACATTTACATGCGAGTGCTGGGTTGGGGGCTAAAAATACTATGAGAGCAACGTATTGACTCTGGCCTTGAAAATAATCAGCAGAGTGCTGGAGTCTGCTCAGACTGGCTTGCAACAGCCAATCGTTTTCAGGAAATTTATCAGCTGGCTGTTAAAAGCACACATTATTAAAAATTAAATTATATAAGCCTGCAATTAAATTAAATAATTTCTAAGATAAAGGTAGCAAATACTTAAAACTCACCACTTCCTAATGATTTCTCCACATTTTATTATCATCTGTTGCTCTTGAAGTTATTTTATTTAGATCTATTGTAACTATGGTAGAAATACAACAATATACCATACTATACCATTTATCCTATCCTATCCTATCCTATCCTATCCTATCCTATCCTATCCTATGTGCTAGGCACATCTCTGCCATACATGTTGTTGGTAGCCTGAAATCAGCCATGGTGGAAATATTTACACCATGGAAATAAAACACTATAAACTGGGGCTTTTTTTCCTAAAGAGTCACTTGTTAAACATTACCCTGAACCCAATGTAAAAGCCAATAGATTCTCAAGCATGGCAAATCCAATGCTACCGCAAGCTAGACAGAAGACAGTGGCAGAGACTACAACTACAAGGTATATGCTCCTCTGAGGGAAAATGGCTGGTCAGGTTCAGCCTTCTCTTGTTTTTGTTTGTCTTTTAATTTTTAACCTTTTTTTTTTTTTTTTTTTTTTTTCCTGAAACAAGGTCTTGTTCTGTTGCCCTGGCTGGAGTGCAGTGGTGCAATCATAGTTTACTATAACCTCAAACACCTGTGCTCAAGTGGTCCTCCCACCTCAACCTCCCAAGTAGCTGGGACAACAGGCATGTGCCACTACACATGGCTAATTTGTTGTTGTTGTTGTTGTTGTTGGTTGTTTTTTTGTTTGTTTGTTTGTTTTTGGTAGAGATTGGGTCTCTCTATTTGCCCAGGCTGGACTCAAACTCCTGGCCTCAAATGATCCTCCAGCTTTGGCCTCCAAAAGTTCTGGGATTATAGACATGAGCCACCATGCCCACAGCCTTCTCTTGTTATAACTTGAACCTTATGTGGCCAGATTTTCTGACTTTTTTCAAAAGAAGCAAGAAATCCAGGCTTTTCTCTGAATTTTTCCAAGTTAATATACCATGTGGACTGTTTTTAAAAAATATCTGCAGACTAGCTGCTAATCTAATTTCCTCATTTCACAGATGAGGCAACTGAGGCCTCCTCACTGAGCTTTTGGTCTGACAGAGGTCCAAGTGAGATGTGGGAACTGTAGTGTTTCAAGTGAAGCATTCTCTCTCGCTGGCTTTTCCACAGAAATGTTCATCTGCCTAGATGTTTTCTTTTACAAGAGACAGGCTATTGATAAAGTCAGGTATCTATTTCCAGAGTTCAGAAGTTAGGAGTTCAATCAAAGCCTTAAGATTCACTACATCTTATGTACCACATTTTCTTTAAGACATTTCAAAAACATCCAGGGTCTGGAAAATAAACATTGGATCAAGAATTATGAAGGTTTTCTTCATGATGAAAAATTGGACCAACTGATTTTCCCACTACTTTATCTTATTCCTTGAATTTACATCCATGTATGTAGCCTAATAGAACATTTTTGGTTCATTTTGTATTTTTCTAAGGAAAAACAATAAGCCTACAAAAGGTTTTTAAAATGTTGCTTACATTATTTGGAACAGTTAACTGAGCTTCAGTGTGCACTGGTTCACAATAAAGCTTGACTGAGAAAAACGTCCATGTTATCAAGAGGCCATGCTTCTGGAATGACAAGAAGAATGAAGTGATAAGGTGGAGAGCTTTGACCAGATTCTTATTTGGAAAGGATTCTAAATGGAAAGTCCAATTTGCTCTAGATAATTTATGATACAAATAACAATAACAATAATGGATTTTTATGTGGAAAAAAATACCTAGAATCTCAAGGCTTTTGTTTTTCCAAGTTCATGTCTAATCGTTATTCATGAAACTACATGATATTTTCATGTTTAAAATCATAGCATAGAAATCATTTTGTATTTTCTTCACTTAAGCATTTCTCACATTGCTTCACAGACACCATAATGCTATTTTTAATCACTCCATATTATTAATTTGAATTAAAGGACAAGAATTATCTCCTTTGTTTCTGAACATTTATTTTCAAGTTTCCACTAAGATAAGTAACAGCAATAAATGTTTTCACACATGTCATTTTTTCCTTTACCAAGAAAATTATGATTTTTCTCGAATTGAATAATTGAGTAACACATATGAAATATCTTTATAGTTCTTGAGATGAATTTCTAGGGGAGTTTACCAATATGTATACTCCCACCTGCAAAATAGAAATATTTGCATTTCATCATATCCCTTTTTTTTTTCCCAAGACGGAGTCTCACTCTTTCGCCCAGGCTGAAGCTGGAATTCAGTGGCACAATCTTGGCTCACTGCAACCTCTGCCTCCCAGGTTCAAGAGATTCTCCTGCCTCAGCCTCCTGAGTAGTTGAGATTACAGGCACCCACCACCACGCCTGGCTAATTTTTATATTTTTAGTAGAAATGGGGTTTTGCCATGTTGGCCAGGCTGGTCTCGAACTCCTGACCTCAAGTGATCCGCCCACCTTCGCCTCCCAAAGTGCTGGGATTACAGGTGTGAGCCATTGCACCTGGCCTCATCATGTCCTTCACAGCATGGGTCACTAACATTATGTTTTGTCTTTTGCTAATTTAATAGGTATAAAATGACAGTTATGGCTTCAATTGGTATCATACTCTTGACCCCCTCAATTAAATACTTTTCAATATGCTTAGTAATTATGTCATCCCTTGGGTAAGCAGTCTCTTCATATCATACCTAGTTCTTTATTCTAGTTAATCCATCAAATATACAGGCCTCCAGGCTCTAGGGAAAGCAGTCTTATAAGGCAACCAGCCGAGTGTTTGTGATTCAAGTCAGATGATTTTTTATCATTCCACTTATAAAACTCTAATGCCACAGAATGAGTTAGGTGTATTTCCTTTTCCTCAACCAGTTCTAGTTTTTAATCCTTTGGCTACTATGTCCTCTTTGAAGACCCTCTTAGTCCCCCTGAGACCCCTCAAAATCCAACCTTTCCTTCCTCCCAGACCTCCACTTCGTCACACAATTACAGTAGAGTTTCTGACACTGAGAAGAGGGAGCATAGAAATATGTTTTCTTTGTGTGACCCAGGAAGGAAAAAGCCCTAATTGAAAGATAAAAACACACCTATTACCAAGACTCGCACCTACTGTTTCTCAATCTTCATAATACTTTATGGGGAAGGACAAAGATGAGGAATGCTGGTGAGAGGTTCTCCCAGGAATTGGGATATCTTTGCTTGATCCCATCAGGACTCAGACTCCTAGAAGATCATCTCCTCAGACAGAACAAATCCAAAAGCTTCTTCTCAGTAGCTGCTAAACTGAAATCATTTTTTTCTAGAATGAGGGAGAGGGGAGAAGACACAAAGCGGTTTAAAGTGATATGTGTATAGAGTAAGACTAGAACACGCTGAGCTAAATCTGATGCTGCATTATATAGTGATCCTTTATTAAGAAATTTCCTTCTGTCTCCTTGGTTTTATCTCATCTTTCATTTTGTTAACCTTCCTGTGTAGGCATCAGAGGCCTTCAAACCAGGGTGCCTATCCTCCTGGGGTACAATGTATTATGCCTCTAAGGGTAGATGCGAGGTATCTGAGGGGCATGTAGACATGAGTAGTTTTAAAACAGTTTTTGGATCTTTAACTTCCTTCTGACCTCTTTCTTAAAACTGATCTGTTCGCCACCTGCAGTCTCCTTTATTACCTCCATTTAATGATTGCTGTGTCCTACCTGGCAATATACAGGCATCCCTCTCCCTCTTCCTGAATCCTACAAGTATTGCCCCAGTGTGTAAAAAGTTCCTGGGTACAAAGAGATCATTACAAATATTATAGTTGAGATAGTGGATGACGCTACACAAGACATCCTTTTCTTAATAGCAATTCTCTATTTTTTGCTTTTAACAAAATTGAAGGAGGAACTAATTAATTTGTCAGGTTATAAATCATTAAAATAATTGTTGAAGATAAACTCTACAGTGTGAGTTTTGAAAAATAAGTAAGGAGTTTAAATAATTAAGTTACATTGTTAAAAGAATACTGAAACAAAATTTCTTCAAATTCCATGTACTTCCACATATATGAACAAACTTTCTCAATATTTTCATCTATAAAGATTAAAAAATAAGAATAGAATTAATGCAAAAACCCAGCTTTATTTCAGCAATGAGTAATACCCATTTGCTGATACATAGAATAATTGGGGAAAGCGAATCATCACTTCATTA